TCACAGCATACAAAATGCGATTTCCCATCCAGAACATACTGCATAGTGGTTTAATCATGCATATTATTATCAAAAATTTTCCATTTCTAGTTCCTAGAATTTTTTTTACCCCTATTTCTGACCCTCTTTCCCACCCTCTTCTCACACTATCTCTGGTGGCTACAATTAAAAATATGGAACGCTTCACAAATTCACGTGTCATCCTTGCACAGGGGCCATGCTAATCTTCTCTGTATCGTTCCAATTTTAGTATTCGTGCCGCCGAAGCGAGCACATGGAAGTGGTAGCTATAGTTCTTGATCCTTTCGAGGGCTGTTTAAATTATGTATTTAAAGTATCCCAGCACAGTGTCTATTGCACCAAAATTGCCGAGAAGATGCTTCCTCCTTTTCTTTAGGGATAAAAAAAAAATGCAATATCATGAGATCTGATATATTTAACAGAAAATGTAAATAACTTAGGTAAGCAAATCAATGTGAATAAACTGAAAAAAATATATAAAAAATAAACCCAAACCAAATCTTCATTAAATATCCATACTGAAATTTTAAAAGACCAAATCGTGGCCTTATAATATAAACTCACATTTAAGTTGTTTTTTTTTTTAAACCAGAGAAAAGCACAGTGATATTAATAGCCATTGTTACATATCTCAGCTGATCAATGCCATGAAAATTTTATGTCTGAATTTTCAAACTGTTCATTGGGAAATATTGATTGAAAGCTAGAATTAAATTAAAATTGCTGGAAAAAAAAGTCTCAGGCAGATGGATAGAATCTCTGTGAATCATAAATGAGTATTCCTTTTATCTAACAATGTTTACTCACTGCTTTTCATAGTCTAAGGCCTTTCTGTCACATTTCGTTCATCTTTGATAGTTGACTGTGTTGTGTTTTCTAATCCCTCATCAGATGCATAAAAGTGATGTCACAGTGGTGGTGTTTTTCATTATGCCTGCCAAGACAAACAATTTCAATGTGGAAACACTGAAAGGACAGGCAGTGCGAAAACAGCTATGGTAATCTCACATTTTGTAAATCATTATTTTAAGCAATAAGGGTAAAGGGATTTTTTTTTTAAATGCATCACCTCTGATATATTTCTTTGAACTTTGTTTTTTTCTTAACATCCTCATAGCACAAACACTACTTGGTTCTCTTACTGTGCTACTTCATTAGATGATACAACGTCTATAACATAGGTATTGTTATAAAAACTTTGGAATGAGTTACTGGAGAAGAAACAAGGCTGTACAGAAATCTTTAAAGATGGGTTTTTATTGTGGAAATTTAAGACAGATGCCAAACTAACAAGATAAGTAGAATGACCTCCTACATACTCAGAGCCCAGGCCAACCATGATCATTTCCTTCCTTGTCTTGTTCCATCTACAATACCTCTCTATCCTCTCCTCCCTGCTCTCTACCCTTCCTGATTATCATCAAGCAAAGAATGCTAAGCTCTTTGGACTGGTCAGGGTGTTCTGTTGCTTCAACTCTGGAGGTTTTACATCAAGCCGAATTGTAAAATAATAGAAAAGGTTATACAAGGGCCAGCCAACAGCATGGTGGCTGGGCAGCTGGATCCCACAGGGATGAGTGTGCAGTTTAAGTCCTGGACACAGTAGCTTGAAAAATATGCTGGATAGGTGTGCCTGGATTCCCAAAAATCTGAAAGGAGGAGAGATGGAGGAGCAGGGGTTGCGGTTTGACCTTCCCTCATGGGTGGGCATTTTCTCACTTCCCCTCTTTCTCTCTGTTTCTCTCTCTCTCTCCTGTGAGCACGAATGCCCACTGGCAAATTTAAAAGAAAAAAAAAGGAAAAGAAAAAGAAAGGCTGTGTGATAGAGACCTGTAATTTCAAATGACGTTGATAAACAATAGCATTGTCTTAACAAATAAAGGTTAAACATTATGGTACTACTTAAGTAATAAATCTTTCTCTTTTGAATAGGGACACTGCACATTCTGTGAAAGAAAAGTTTGGAAAGAAACTCTATGATGCATTATTAAGGTAGGTGTTCATAATACTTAGCTCTTCAAATATTTAAGGTTTGAGGTCCAGCAGATGGCATAGAAGTTACATCGCTGGACTCCCACATAGCTGGCCATGATTCGAGTCCTGGACCCAGTGACTTGAAACTCAGGCCAGGCACGAGTGCATGTATGCCCAAGATCCCGGGAAGAAAATAGAGGAGAAGGGATTGCAGCACGGCCATCCACCTCACCCAGAGAGTGATTTCTCACTTTCCCTCTCACTGTCTGCCTCTCTGTCTCGGTGAGTGCACATGCCCTATGACAAAAACCTCTATTAAAAAAAGAGCAACAGGGATGATCAGTTGGCATAATGGCTATGTTGCTGGACTCCCATGTAGCCAACTGTGGTTCAAGTCCTGAACCCGGTGGCTTAAACTCATGCAGGGCGCATGTGTGTGCATACCCAAGATCCCGAGAGGAGAAGGGATTGTGGCATGGCCATCCTTCCATGGGGTGATTTCTCACTCTCTGTCTCTCTGTCTCTCTCTGTCTTTCTGGCAAGTGCACGCACCCTATAGCAAAAACCTCCCCCCACCAAGATAAGAGCAACGTTTAGGGTTTTGCTACTCAAAATAACATTTTAGACCCTATAATATATAAAGGAATGAGTAGCCCTTGAAGATGTGTTATATAAGTGGTGTTTTAATCCTTCATTTGACAAAACTTGTAAACATTTTGCACAAATGAGAATCCGCTTTTATATGTAGGCAGTTCTAATTCAATGGCAAACATTCAGGATTCATAAGTTGATCTGCAGCTGAAGGAAATGGATAAGATTTTAAGTTACAACATGTATTTGCTTGGGGGACCAGCAGTTAGCATAATGGCTATGTCGCTGGACTCCCATGAAGTCGACCACGGTTCACATCCGGACCTGGTGGCTTGAAACTCACGCTGGGCACGTGTGCATGCGTGCCCAAGATCCCCAGAGGATAACGGAGGAGAAGGATTGTGGCGTGGCCATCCCCCCTGGGGGGGTGATTTCTCACTTTCTGTCTCTTTGTCTCTCTCTGGCAAGCGCAAGCACCCTTATAACAACAACAGCAACAAAAAACCTCTCAAAACAAAACAAAACATATATTGGCTTAATATATATTAACTATATATTTGCACTTATATTGATATATTTACTTAATAAGAAACATTCACTAAAATTAAAACAATGTGGGGGCCAGTAAATAGCATAGAGGTTCTTTGCTGGACTCCCACATGTAACCGACCATGGTTCAAGTCCTGGACATGGTGATTTCAAACTCATACTGGGCACATTTATGTGCATGCCTAAGATCCCAGGAGAATGAAAGAGAAGGAATTACAGAATGATCATCCTCCCTGGGAGGTATTTCTCACTTTCCCTCTCACTATCTCTGTCTCTCTCTCTTTCTGTATCTCTGGCAAGTGCAAGCACCCTAAGGCAAAAACTTCTACCTAAATAAATAAATTAATGAATGAATATAATATGTATACTTCTGACCTTTAGGAAGCATTAAATTCATGCCCGTTGTTCTTATTTTTTATTTTTAACCTTTTTTTCTTTCCCTGTAGAGGAGAAATTCCTGAGTTGAACAATATTTTGGATCGAGATGATCTCACAATTATTAAAAGGGCCATCTTTTCAACACAGGTAATAAAAAGAAGTGCCCAGTATTTCTGTAATTATTAAAATCAATCTAAATCAATTTACTATATTATAATGTGCTCATATGGGAAATTTTTAGACTCGAGAGCTAGAATAGACATTCTTGCATAGTCACTTAAATGTTGAGTATATATCCTTTCCTGAGGGGTTTTAAGGGCTCCTGTTAAAAAATCTCATGAAACTTGTTTTTGTGTCCACTTGCTACTTTCAGTCAAACTCATTTTGTATGCTGCAATGATACATGGTGAATGAATATAAAGTAAATAAATATAATATTTAAAAGTATAAAAAAACCCCTGTATATACAAGGGCTCTTCAAAGAGTTCATGAAAAGGATGCATAGTATGAAAAAAATGCATGGTTTTTGAAATATTTTGTCCCAAAATAAACTTGTACTTTAATTCCATTTTTCCACAAACTTTTTGAAGTCCCCTGTGTAGTAACAATAACAGAAAACCTCCTACATTTTTACTATACAAATGTGTAGAATTTGAGTCTCTGTAGAAAATGTAAATGTTTCTCAGTTGAGTGGAATTATTGCAAAAACTATAAAATAAATGTGTTAGCCATGCACCCAAACTGTTGTCCTAACAGTGAGGTAATGGGTACTGGACAACAACTCTGCTAAAAGAAACCAGTAAAGTTCTTCTTGATCCAAGATTTCAGGACAGCCTTACAGTCCATATACATTTCAGAAGTAGTCAAGAAGTCTAGGTCTTTCATCTCGTGGCTGCAGGTGAAAATCAAAACCTTCTTGTATTCACAACATGCAATGGGAATTCTTCCAGTGGTCAGCTTTCTATGGAACACACACTTAGTCATCATCGTTAGTGTCATCTCAAAAGACCGAGGGCGTAAAGGTTGGATGAAATGTCAATGACATAGTGTTGAAATTAGTCACACTCATTAATTCTGTCCATAATTGACATTTGCTTCCCTCCATCACTTAGCGACAGTCTTTGCCTCCAGTGACCACTCACAACATGATTGACGACTCCACTGATCCCATCCTCAGCACCATCCGCCGGATTGGGCTTTTCAACAACCGCGCAGACAGAGTAAAGGTAGAGCTCGTTATTTATGTGGGGCACATCAAAATTATGTCTCATACCCTTCGGACAATTTATGAAAAGCCTCTCTCAGTTATTTTAACAGCCACCAGAAATATTTTAAGCATTGCTGAAGGAAATTGTTTCTAATCTTAGGTAATTAGAATATAATAAATATTTTGGTACCATTCTTGAAAATTGAAGTATATGCATGACTTCAGGTTATAGTTAGTTTTAGCCTTCATTTTAAAAAAAATATTTATTTTAATTTGACCAGAGAGGGACAGAGAGAGAGAGAGAGAGAGCGCAAGCTGCCAGGTCTGGGATTTGAACCGCAGTTGACCATCTGGGGGTCCAGCACCTTTAACCACCATGCCACCTGCCGGCCCCTAGTCTTCATTTTTATCGTACAATGTTATGAGCAAATATAAGGAAGTTTTCTAATTGCAATGATGCAAATATACTCTAAGAATTCCTTTAATACAGAAATCACTGATATTAATTGTGTATGTTTCTTTCTGATAAAGTTCCATTTAAGGGGATAATATGA